ATTCATTTACTATTCCTTGCAGTGTGTCCTTGGCTCTTATCCTTCCCTCGAGGCACTTGAGATTTTGTTGATGCCACATACTCGACGCATAGAAAAGCTGCGAGCGCTAATGGCATCGCTGAAAGAATGCAGCATGCTATAATTCTAATCTCTTTGTTTTTCTCTTGCATCTCCTAAGAGGCTTCTTCGCTCATTAAATTCCTTTCCCCGTCAGCTTTAAGGTTTTTTTTTACTTTGCCAAATTGTTGGAGAGTAAACAAACATTCCTTCCAGTTGGCTGGCGAAAGCACTTATCTTAAATTTGATCAACTCTAAGGGAATGCCCCAAACCCTAATACGAAAACTGAACCGAACCGAACCGAACCGCCAGCTGTCCATCTTCACACAGGAAATGGGGTTTGGGAGTATGACTTTTCTTCCCCCTCGATATATATTTCACTTCCTGCTGCTGCTGCTGCTACTTCTGCTGCTTTTTCTTATTTTTTAGCTAACCATTTAGAAAACAATTTAAAATAATGCCACTGCAGAAAGGCAAAAGCAAACAAAAAGCGAATAACGAACAAGTTTGCTTACGTGTACAAGAAAAATGCAAATAAAAGAGCGTAAAACAAACAGCGGGCCATGAGGGAAGAAAGTAAACAGGGGCAGCAGAAGCAGCGCAAAACAAGCAATCAATAATCAATATGGAGTAAATATTATTTTGAAGAGCCAGTAAATAGGAACACACTCGACGCTGGCTTAAATCAAATGCTTCGGAGAGCATTCAAGAAGATTTCCCTTCGGCTTGAATTTCATTTCGCTGCGATTTGTTGGCCACCATGCCTGCCATGTTGCTTTGTCCAGTACTCCAGGACCCTGGGATATCCTTTCCTATCTACAGCAGCGATTTATGTGGCTTCCAGCTCAGCACTGTGGGCGTGACATAACTGGTTTATCAGTTAAGGCAGGAGAAGGAGCTCCTCTCACTGGACCAAGGACCACACAGACCACGAAGCATCCCTCTCGCCATCCGGAAATCAGTTTTGATTTCAATTTCTCTTTCACCTTTTCCCACATGATGATGATGTCCTTATTTACGCCGCCATTGTTGCTCCCGTGTTCTCCGTGCCATGTCGTGTCCAGTCGAGTGTGTCCTTTACGAAATGAAAACGTTATTCAAGCCTCCCATTAGACTGCTTTTCATGCGCAAAATTAAGTTCTTGGCAGCAGCCACTGATTGTAACTAAGCGGAACACTTGAGAAAATATTGTTTTTCCTACTCTTTATATCTTTACCTATCAATATTTATTTAAAATTATATAAAAATATATTTCTAAGGCATTTAAGGTCATAAAATATATTTAAAAGATTGACTATATAACTAAAAAGTAGCATTATAACCATATATTTTCAGCTATTGTCTTATTGAAAGTCATGTCTCTTCGATTTATATCTTAAATATATAACTTATTGCCATACAAAACCCATTCTTAAGTAATAAAATCACCATAAATCCTGAAACTATTGGCTTATTGAGAGTCATATCTTTTCTATTGTGGCAAAGCCCTTGAATCTTGTACCTTTTTTTTCCACTCCACACCACATTTCCCTTTCTTGTGTAATCTGTTAAGCTGTCAGGCTGTGTGTTTCTGAGGGAACCCACAAATGGCATTGGCATATTATTCCTTGGCATTGTTTGCAAAAATTATAGCATACATCTGCGGGCAACCGGCAGCTGTCATTCATTAATCATTCCATTTGTCACCTCTCCACACACACATGCAGAACGACGCTATTCGAGATGAATGAAGGGCCATATATATAGCCACTATATATTCGCAATTAATATAAAATTATTTCCACTGGCCAACGGCGGTTCGTATCAAATAAACGTGGAACGAGCAACCACAAATATTGCGTGGAGTGTTGTGGTGTGCGTATATATATATATATATATATATATATATATATATTCTTGCATAACGACGTTCATCAAGCGGCAATTAATTTATATAATCGAATTATGGCATGGCACGATTTTAATTAATATTTCTTGGCCATTTGTATTACAATTACATCAGTCAAACGAGTCAAGTTGATTAATCAATTAATTTCAGCTCCATTTGACACGAATCTGCAATGATGAGAAGCTCCTGTTTCGGCTAATTCTAGTTTCCCGCCTATGATCCCCAAAAAGCAAGATTCTATTTCCCAGAAGAGTTCAAAATTTAATTTGAGCCACTTGAGAACTTAATTTGGCAAATAGCAGCAGCAGCCTGGATAAATTAACCTTTGCCTCATTTGCACCCACCCAAAAAAAAAGAAGAGAAAAGGAAAATGGAAATTTGCAAATCAAATTACTAAGCTTCCTACACATTAGCCCCTCTTTTCGTCTCGCTACGTTTATTTTCTCAGTGCACAGAGAGAAATTGTCGAGCCTTAAAACAGGAAATAAACTTGTACTTTTCAAAATATTGAATTTATTTGAATTTAACTCTAAATGAAACATTTGTAATTAAAAACATTTTACATATTCTGCTCAGTATCCTTGAAAATAATATTAATACACTTTTAGAAGATTTCTTTAAAGTAATATCTAAATATTATTTAATGAGATTTGTCAGAAGATTCTAAATATTAAGGAATTTTTTGATAAATAATTTCTTGAAAAGAATCTTAGTAGAGTATTTTTTAACTCTGATTTATTATAGGTACTTATAAATTATATGTATTTAGAATTCTAGTCTCAAAAGATTTGCAGGTACTTAACCTTTATATTTTATGTACCTATGTCAAGAGTGTGTTAAGTCTTCGAATTTAATTTTTGTATAATCATATTTATCTAAAATTTTCTTCAGTAGACTCGAGAGTATATTCCTTTGTATCTCCGGGTGTGTTTCCATCTATGCATATTTAAACAGTCTGCTGGCTTTGCGGTTTCTGCGCCTCATGGAACGTGTTAATTGCAGCCACATTTCGCCCATCACGTTGCCACTGGCTTTCGCTTGCCAACACCCACCCACCCCCTCAAACATTTTCCGTGCGCTTTTCCAGCGCTTTTCCGCTGCCGCTGCCAGCTGCAACCGCCGCCTAACAAATGCAATTAAAATCTTTGCGCAAAGAAATGGTTACTGCCAGAACGGAACGAGATATGGTGGAGTAGGTACCAGCGGGGTGACAGATAACATATTGCCCACGTCCAAGAGAAATGTGCATGGACAGAGTAAGCAAGATTTTTCACACAAAAACGAACAAAAAAGAAAAGAATAAATGACATTTATCTGCACTTCTTTGCCCAGGCCACGCTCTGGTCATACAAATCTAATTTGGACCGCACACGAGGGCAAGGAAACTGCTCCAAATACATTTTAGATTCGCCCTCATCCAAACTAATACGTTCTGGTTTCCCTCAGTTCTGCGGTTAGAGGTTTATCTGTGGAAGTTTTTGTTATGATTATCTGAGGACCTCTAGTCCCTGGCCATTTGGATTTGTTTATCGCTGATATTAGGCCTTGATTTGAGGGATTTTGTAAGACGTTTAATGACATTATTGACATTATATAAAACAAATAATATATTTTGTTATGAAATTTTTAAGATAAAGACTAGTGAAAACAAACAGAAAAGAAAACTAACTTCAGGAAGAGAAGATGTATAATTGAAATATAGGATTGATTTGGAAACCAATTATAACTAAGCTTAAATCACTTTATATCTAAATTTGTATATGAAAATATTTAAGTTTTAAAATCTTCATAACTAAGCCATAAAAGCATTTATTTTAATTGGCAAAGCTGTTCTATGTTAGTTTTTGTTAGGGTAACAAATCTGCATACTCAATTTAAAATTTTTTCAAATTTAAAATTTGATCAATTTCTCACATTTTTAAATGACATATTTTAGTGATAAAAAAAATGGAAAAAATTTTTAAAATTTTTTTTACTTCCTAAGATGGCTAGATCGACTTGGCTGTTATTGCTGATCAAGAATATATATGATTTATAGGGTCGGAAATGACTCCTCTCAGTTTTAAGCTATTGGCTGTAATTATTTATACATTATATTTATCTATATTTTAAAGCAATTTTTATGTACAAACCAAAGTTTAAAAAACTCATAACTAAGCCAAAAATGCATTCATTTTAATTCAGAGAGCTGTTCTGTGTTAGTTTTCATTAGGTTAATAAATCTGCATACTCAATTTAACATTTTTTCAAATTTAAAAATTTATCAATTTTTCAAATTTTTAAATGATACATTTTAGTAACAAAAAAAATGGAAAAAAATTTTAAAATTTTTTTTACTTCCTAAGATGGCTAGATCGATTTGGCTGTTATTGCTGATCAAGAATATATATGATTTATAGGGTCGGAAATGACTCCTTCACTGCGTTTCAAGCTTTTGACTAAAATTATAATACTATGTAAGCTTATAATAAATAAATGTAAGAAATTTTTAAAATAATATAAAGATTTTTGCCGTATGCCATAGGAAGTATAATGCAAAATTAAACTTTTCCTGAGCTATTGCTTCACTTTTAATCACATTTTTAAAGTAAATTTCAAGTATTAAGGTTTTTATTTATGATTTCCTTTGATTTGAGGGTATTTTATTAAACGTATATACCCTTAAGTTGCATTTATCTTCGCCTCAAGTGCACTTTTTCCCACCTCACCACCCACTGCTGCTAATTAAGCTGCAAGTGGCAGCTGCCTCTCGAGGCGTTTGGCCAAGTGGGAAACTATTCCCGGACACAAAGTGAAGTGTATATATTTACCGGATTTTCCCCTTAATCGGCTTAGGGCAGCCAGCGGAGGCACTCGATCCACGCAACCACAACAGAAAACACACAACACAAACACTGGCAACATCCTGTGCATCATGCAATATTTAATCATATTAGTTGTAATGGTGTAACGGTCGTATACGCAACAATTTACAACTCACATTAATTATACGTCATGTTGGACAATAGTCTTACCTCTCTCTCACTCTCTCTATCGTTCTCTCTCTATTCACAGGCAGTCGCTCCTTGGTAATTAATTATTAATGCATCTGAAGAGAAGGCTGTCCGGCGAAGCTGTCCTTGGCAGCGACACTGCTGCACTGAATGACGTCCAGCAATCACAATAGACGATAGACGATAGCAACAACAACAGAAGGTGGTGCTGCTGCTGTTGCTGCTGCAACAACTACTGCAACAATGGCCAGTGGCAACAATGAAACTGCGCCGCTTTACTGCGGCAGCGGCATGGATAATTTCCATACAAGGTAAGCGACTTTACTCAATGTCAATGCCAAATGCCGGCGGGTAGGAAAATGCGCCTCAAGGACAGGGACATCGACAACAACGACGATGACAACAACTCGGCAGACATACATATACAAGCCAGATATTGGGACAACAAGCAGGACGAAACAACAACACCATTAGCCGCTATGGGGACGACAATACGGCGAATCGTTCAGAAATCGATTATCGCCTCGTCACCCCGGCCATTATACACATTTTCATTTGATTTATGCACTGAGAGACAAAGTACAAAGGGAAACATGTATTTTTCTATTTTATTAACTACTTTTAAAAGTCTTTTAAAGGGTTTTAAAATGAACAACAAATTTAAAGATCATCTAAAGGAAATTAAAATTATTCTTCCATAATATATGTTTACATACATTTCATTTAAATATATGTATATTGCACATAGTTTAGGTATTTATTTCTATTCTCAAGAAAGTAAATCTTTTACAATTTCCTTTAATAAACAATTAAATTCCCCGACTTAAAAGTACTTCCTTTAAGTATTTCTTTCACTGCAAACAATTTTCCCGGACGATTAAATGACAAAAAAAAAACAGCGGAAAAGCAGAAAACAGATTTGTCAACAGCAAGGTCAACAAATGATGGTTGAAATCAATTTAATTGACCGTTTCCTATAGGCCATCCCTGTGTCCATCTGCTGCACCCATAAAAAGAAGAAAACCAAACCCGGGGCTACAAGTATTTATATTCCTTGCATGCCAAAAGGTCGTAAAAGGTGATGATTAAAAGAGGCTCTAAAAAAACTTTATGGAGGTACACAAAATTCAATTCTTGGCCAAGTCATCAGGCTGAAATTTTCATAAATATAAGGATGTAATAAATGTGAGAGGTAATAATAAATAGTAAAAGCAATTGGGTAATAAAATTCAATCAAGGGCAAGCATATAACGTGAATAAACATTGATTAAGGTGAATTTTGCTGACTGATACATAATTCTTGGGGTTTAGAGAACAAACAAGGCGTCTTCAGAAAGTTATGTTCTTTATTAAATCTATACTTGTTTTAAGAGTGTTTAAAATTAAATGAGGAACCTCTGAAATTTTGTTTCCTTTAATTTCCTTTTAAACAATCCTCAAAATGTTACCTACAACTTTGAAATAATTAACTTTTCATAGCTGAAAGTGGCAATAAATTCATTATTTATTAGACCAGTTAAGCTGGAGATTTTTTCTGTCTTTGGCCATAAAGCAACGACGCTTTCTTAGTCCTTATTGATGGACCATAAAAATGTTCTTTGGTTTATTAGGTCACTTGGTTTCCCGTGCTCGGTTTCATAGATGAAGAATATTACCCGATTGGCGTACATAAATCATTGATGATCATTTATTTGCCGTGATTAAGCTGGGAGCTGCTGTGTGAACTGCAAATTATTCACTCTACTGTTACACCGCATTCTGGTCATCCTGACCATCCTGGCAATCTCTCCCTGTCGGCTTAGCTGTGTGTTGGCCTGGCCAAATGCTTTTAGTTTTAATTAGAGCCAGTCTGGGCGGCATTAATGGCCACAAAGTGGCTTGTCACAGCATCCCTGAATGCGGCGGCTTTTGGCGAGTCGCTTTAATTAAAGGTAGCCTTAGCCGTAGTCGGAGTTTGAAAGATGACTGTATGGCAATTAGATGTGTATCCAACACTTGGCCATTTACTTTTGTGTCAAAGACGTGCCAAATTGCTGGCGACGTCTTTTCCACCGAGGGCGACACTTGACGCTGTCACGCCCCAGACAGACAAACCACCCACCAAGGAGCCCAGTCTCTCTCTCTCATTCTATAAGAAGGCCCTAAAAGCCACCCAAACCACCCACACATTCGTCTCCAAGCGCCACTCAAGCGGCAAACAACAAGAGAAGAAACGAGGGATCGTGCCAAAAACATAAAGTGAAGAATTTTTCAATTAACAATGAAGCCATGAATACACTGTATTTATATATATAATTTAAAAAATATAAAATATATATTCTATAAACTGGACTATCTTTGAGTAATAAATTCCAAAAATAATGGTTTTATTACTCATATTATTTGCCCATAGATTCCATAACAAATCTCAAAACTAAATGCTTATTCTACCTAAAAACAAATAGAACATTAAGTAAGTTTTTTATCTATACCTCTATATATAAAATTAAAACAAACCATTGACCAAATTAACACTACCCAATGCAAGTATATTTTTTGGCAAAAAAGTGAAATTCAAACGCCAATGTGGCACACAGTCCCACATCGAACGGAGCCAACACACATTATTTTGCGGCAGGCGCAAAAGTGCAACCCTTCCCCTGGCGGCAACGTGACGTATACGCAATATAAATGGCAAGCGAGAAAGCGAAAAACCTTAAAAGGAGGAGCAAAAGTTTTTGGCAAACGAAAAAATAAATAACGAATTGGAAGGAAAAACCGCAACAAAACACGCACAAAACAAGCAATTAACATAAATAATAAAGAACGCACCAAGTCAGCCCCCTTTTTGTCAAAGAGAAAAGCCCAAAAAGCCAGAAAAACCGAACACCGAAAAATGTGGAAAATTGCTTGTGGAAAATATATTTAATTTACCAAATGCGTTGTCGCTTTTTGCGGCCGTGTATTCCCCAAACAAATGGAAACTGAGGCACATACAAAACATGCCACGGACTAACTGACTGACTTTTCACGTTAAAGGCTTCTCATTCTGATGGACAGGTCGGTGGCTGCTGTGACTCCCAAAAGGTGTGTGTGTGAGGTGTGTCTACGTGGCCCTTAATAAACAAAAAACAGCGAAATTGAAACGCTTTTCGAATCGCCGGGCGACACTTTTCGGAGCAACCCTCATCTTGTCGCAACTCCTGGGGAATTTACAACTCCATTCATCAAATGCACCAAAACAAAACTTTCCGAGGCTGCCACACATTCCCCTTCAAGTTCGTTGTCGCTGGATTTTACCTTTACTTTGCTAGAAAAAAAAAAAGAAAACCCAGACTCTAACTCTGGTTACTCCTACACCAAAAATTCTTCTCTGAGTCTAATTTATGGCCTTTGATAATCCATGTTGATGAATGGCAATGGCAACGGGCAACGGCAACGCTAGCGACAACGACAACGTCGACGACATGAATGAAGTCAAAGTCCTGGAATTGTTTTGGACCACCCGAACCCTGCCCAGGAACCTGGGTTTTGCGGCTCAAAGTTATTGGCCCAGAAATCAGGCAGAGTCAGCTGTCGAAATGAAAACCCCTCCAATAAAGCAAACAAGCTAGGCAAATAGCCAAGGCATGTTACACGTCAAAAAATCAAGATCATTTTAAGTTTAAAGGTGACTGATTGACGTTGTTTAAGGAATTCTATGATATAAAAATATTCTACATTAATATATCATATCTTTTGCCATTTGACCAGAACTTCAGCTTAAACAAACGTCCTATAAAGTTGCCTTATTTCTTGTTACCATAAAATAGCCTTTACATTTTATCTCTCTGCATAAATCCCTTTTAAAGGTACAACTGCAAAATCGAAAGTTTGCAAGTTTTGCGACATAGTTTTTCTCTACTTGTTCCTCCCCCTGGAAAAATAATAGAGACATTTTTCCCAGCTCCCAACAGCTTATTTCCTGGCTGGTGCAATGTTTTTTCAGTTCCATTTTCCCTAGCAAACAAAAAATTAATTTGGATTCACATTCGTGCAGATTGCAACTGGGAGCGGAATGGAAATTTTCAGCCATAAAAACCATTAGCAGGAACGTCACTGAAAACTTGCCCACAAATTTGGCTTAGATTCCTCAATAAAACTGTCATTCTGGCCCCAGGGTCCCTATTGTTGTTGTGTTTTTTTCGTAGTAAATGGGGAAATTCGCACGAAAGCTATAAACAATTTAACTAAAGTCCCTGGCACTGACAGGAACAGGAACAGAAGCAGAAACAGGAACAGGAAGAGCAGCAGTAGGAGACACACACGTGTCACTCTGGCCGAGTGTGTGTAGTGTGGGACTGCCTGCAAGTTTATTAAACATTTTTTGCTGCCAGTCAACCGCAGGGCTAAATGCAGGATATACCCGCAGGACGCAAGGATGCACGATCCAGCCCCGGAGGCGTTAGAGTGTCGTGTTTGTGGCTCTCGCCTTGCATTTCCCTATATAAATTTTATGCTAAGTCTAATTTGTTGGCTGCAACTTGCACAAAAGGCAAAAAGAAGAAAATAAAAGCAACCAGCTGCTGCTGTTGCACAGGGAAAGCAACAACAATTGGTTGCAAAGAGAAAAAAAAATTGCCAAAAGGCAAAGACCAAACGAAAGCGTTGAAAGCTGCCTCGGGTTATCCGGGGAAATAGGGTGAAACACTGGGAAAAATTGTTAGAATTTGTAGTATGAAATTTTGGAGATTTACGATATTGTTTTATATGAATTTTTGAATAGAGTTTCCCCATAAATTATCTTAGATTTGCTTAGATAAATGGGCAAATATGTGTAATTTATTTTCAGTATTCAAACCTAGATACAAATCCTTTTCTCTTTTTTGGAGTGCTTTTAGGAATTTTCCAAAAACTTTGAGCCACAAGCCGGTAGAGAAATTTCAATCCTACTCCTCATTTTCCCCCTTTTCTCTTTGAACTTTTTTCTCCTCTTCTTTTTTTTTTTTTGGCTAACGAAAAACTAAACAAAAGCCGGTAAAATGTTTATCCCAAAACCGGGAGCCGTGTGGGCGTGGCTGGGCTTTTGCCTTAGGCCTCGGTGAGTTTATTGCCTCGACTGCTGCAAATGCTGCTGCTGCTGTTTGCCAAGTCAACGGAAATGGCTTTTGGATGGTTTTATTGCCCAAAAGAGAGAGAGAGAGCCTAAGCGTATAAAGTAACAAATTGGTTAGGGCTAACTAGAGCATAATAACAGAAACATAATTTGCAAAATGCCTACCAACCCCACTCACTACATTTCGATTTGTGTCTTGATTAGACTTGAAGCTGAAATCTACTTCTACAAGTTTGTTTAAAGTAGGAAATTATTGAAGAACAGATGCTCTTTAATAAGGGGAAGTGAGTGGATATTAAAATACTTCAATTATGGTACTTCAAAATTGTTCAATAACTTTAGAATTATAATGATTACCTTGCTCTTATTTTACTTAATAGTTTTAAGAGGCTCTTTTAAAAACATGACCAAATTAACTTAATATATATTTCACTCTTTTGCAGCTACAAAAACATGCATGGCTATGTCTCACTGGTGGTCTGCATCTTGGGCACCATAGCCAATACCCTGAACATCATAGTTTTAACCCGCCGGGAAATGCGATCCCCAACGAATGCCATACTCACTGGATTGGCAGTGGCCGATCTGGCAGTTATGCTGGAATATATACCCTACACTATACACGACTATATCCTTACGGATAGTTTGCCTCGAGAGGAGAAACTCAGCTATAGTTGGGCCTGCTTCATCAAGTTCCACTCGATCTTTGCCCAGGTTTTGCATACGATATCCATATGGCTTACAGTAACACTGGCCGTTTGGAGATATATAGCCGTGGGTTATCCCCAAAAGAATCGAGTGTGGTGTGGTATGAGAACTACTATAATAACAATAACTACAGCCTATGTGGTATGCATATTGGTGGTTTCTCCCTCACTATATCTCATCACAGCCATAACCGAATATGTGGATCAATTGGATGCCAATGGCAAAGTTATTAACTCCATACCCATGACACAGTTTGTGATTGATTATCGGAATGAGCTAATGATGAGTGCTAGGGTGGCGGCTTTGAATGCCACGCCCCGAATGCATTGGCACTAAATGAAACTCTCTGGTTTAATGTGAGTTCATTGCTTACATCAACAACAACGACGACAGTTGCGCCACCGATATCTACCCCATCGCCGGTGGTGAGAAATGTTACGGTTTATAGGTTATATCACAGCGATTTGGCTCTGCATAATGCCTCGCTACAGAATGCCACCTTTCTTATATACAGTGTTGTGATCAAGCTAATACCCTGCATAGCACTCACTATACTATCGGTACGTTTGATTCTGGCTTTATTGGAGGCCAAGAGGCGTAGGAAGAAGCTGACCAGTAAACCGGCTCCGACTGCCTCAAGTAATGGCACCAAATCCGTGAATAATGGCAAGGCAGCAGACAGGCCAAGAAAAAATAGCAAAACTCTGGAGAAGGAGAAGCAAACGGATCGCACTACTAGGATGCTGTTAGCAGTCCTGCTCCTCTTCCTAATCACAGAGTTTCCGCAGGGCATAATGGGTCTGCTGAATGCCCTTCTAGGCGATGCCTTCCTTGTACAGTGCTATCTTAGACTGAGTGAGTTGGAACTTTTTCTTCTTATTATATTAATAAACTTCATTTTAACTACCAAAACATAAACCCATAATTTCCCACCTTTTATTTCCTCTTTTCAGGCGATCTGATGGACATTTTGGCCCTCATAAACTCTAGCATCAACTTCATCCTTTACTGCTCGATGAGCAAACAGTTTAGGACCACCTTTACCCTACTCTTTCGTCCAAAATTCCTGGACAAGTGGCTGCCAGTGGCCCAAGATGAAGTGGCTGCCGCACGAGCAGAACGATCAGCGGTGGCTCCAACAGTCCTGGAGAAAGGTATACGAAATCCCCAGGTGGTGACAGCCACCACCACCACGAACATCACACAGGTGACGAATCTGTAGCATAGGAATCGTGGCCATCGAGGCAATCGCAGGACACTGCTCAGTCGTCTGCTGAGTGTCCTGAAGCGACGCAGACGAGAGCCTGGCGGAGGAGGAGGTCCTATGGCAGGACCTGTGTCCACCGTAGAGCCAGCAGCGGATCCTCTGGCCCTACAATTCCAGGCAATTGTTGTGGTTGTGGACAAAGTGAGTGGGGCAACGGATCATCAGCTTTATACAGCTGATCAAGCTCGAACTGTGACGTAGTTACTCTAAACTGATGAAAAAAACCATGATAATAGATATGTTGTAAGGAAATCCATGTAAAAACTTAACTAGTTGTGTAATCTCTAATTGAGTAAGATAAACCCAGGATAGACACGATTTTCTTGCATACTTTGAAGCATTGTAAAAGCTAAAAATAACACTAGCCTGCAAAGTAAGGAATACTCTGGAATTGGAAGTAGTTTATGGTGTGTTACTTTTCTTAATAATGGAATTTTCTTTATATGTTAAAAATACTATGGTGTTTAAAGGTTTCAAGTTTTAATAGGTGAAGTTCATTTTTTCAATAATATTTCCCTTTTATTAAGCAAATTTCCTACAATACGACGCTACCTGAGAGCTTAATTATACAAAGTAAATCTTTTATAAGGTTAAGATGAATAATAAAATTAATTAAATAAAGATTATAATATTTATTTCATTTTGAAACTAACTAAAAACGAGTAAAAACCAAATATAAAGAAAATATAATGACAAAACCTATTTAAACTAAAAAACAAAACAGGACAAATTTAATATATTTGATTAAAAACTGAATTACGGTTTCAGATTCACACCACAAAATACTTCCAAAGCCCAGAGAACACTTTCAATGTTGGCTGGTGTTATAAAAAAGCGCTAGCACATCACTCATACGCACCATTGGCTTCGCCTCTATTCGTCTTCATGGAAGCTGTAAAAATATTGTGTATAAATTTGCACATACATAGTATATATCTACACGTTTCATCTCTGGCGCATATATAAATCAAAACATAAATTGAGCTTTGCAGCTTTTTTACAATGCATTTTCATGTTGATTTCATCTGAATAAAGTATGCAATGCACGTGCTCATACACACTCACACAGAACTACGAATTTTTGGCAAGGATTTAAGCAGAATATATGTATATATGGCAAAGATACTATACTGTACATATATATAGCCAAACAAGTTGATGTCCGTATGTACATATTAATAGCAATTAAATTAAATTGTATGCAGAGAAATGTCTTACAAATATTTTGATAGCCTTAGTTGAGCCAATTTTGAATGCAACCATTGGATGGAATTAAAGATATATATGTTGAATCAGTTGCAGTGAACTAGGCTATACTTATAATGGGAAATTCTTTTATACGGAATTAGATTTGGGCTGTGAACGAAATCATTTTATTTGTGTTTAAGTTGTTTTCCGTTTCGTTTGGGAATTCACTCACGTTTCATTGGGAATAATTTAAGCCAGCTTCACTGCAGCTGACCGAAAGAAACAATGCATAAATGTTTGCCCCGCTCTATTGGAAAATTTTCTTTTTATTTTTTGTCAAATAAAATCGCAAAGCCCTGCGACAGACAGACAGCTGTTTAAAATGACAAATGGCCAACACGAGCGAACGAATAAATTATGACGATTGAAGTATTTGCAATTGAGCCCCGACAAATACTTTTCAATCTCGTTAATAATGAACAGATAAATCAGCCACAAGAATTACAGATACTTTGGGACAAATGTGTATCTATAAATAATATAAATAAGTACATTAATACACACAAAATACACATGTGAATGTAATGATTTGTTGCTTTCACAACGATTAATTTCAGCTGTAAATTGAGAGAAATTACTCGAATAACTACAAATATAAATTTAATTAAATTATAATGTTGCCACTCTCTCTGCTTACTGAAAGTGAGCTTTAATAATAAATATTGAATAGATTAATTGTTGTTTGTTATACATTCAGTAAAGGATAAGTGTGATTTAAGCTACTCAATTACCAAAATGAGAGCGACAAAAAATGGTTTATTAGCGCGTAATTAAGTTTTTATATAGCTAATCGTTAAAATCGTAATGAAGAGCTCACTGAACGGTATTTAGATTTATGCAAAACGAAAAAAAAAAAATATGAAAACATTACATTAAAATTAAATTAAATCTATGAAAAGCTAAACAAGTTGTTTCATTACATTTCGAACAAATTTATGCAAGTTTTTCAATTATTTTTAATTTAGCTCAGCAACGGGCCGAATAAAAAGTTTACTGACAACATATTTTAGCCAAGTTTAATTTGCATTAGCCAGAAAATACGGCAAACCGCAGGGAAAAGTTCAAAATATAAAGCAAAGCGCAAAAAAAAGAGTCCAAAAACAATAAGCATGAGAAATGGGCCACAAAAGTTTATGGCCCACAAAAAGCTACCAGCTACCAAAAAGAAGTGAAGCTACAAGATGAGAAATGTTTGCTGCCAACTTTTTGCTTTAGTTCCCCGAGTAGTTGTGGAAATAAAAGATTACTCGAGATTGCAATGGCGCTGATAAGCCATGGAAAATGGTTGTCTAAAAGACAAGTTAGTTGCGGTCAAGACTCGAAACGCGCCAAGTAACGTTTCACTCTTGGCTTTAATGCCGAGTTTAGCGGAAAATTAATTCAGTAACTTTTTAACTTAACTTTCAGAAGGGAAAGAGAAAGGTATTAAGATCCTTTTGGCCTTAAAAATAATAATGTTAATTATCCTTAGAACCCTTTCATTATCTGGCAGCAATACGGTAGGTAAGTACGGTCCCTTTCCGGCTTCCTCCCTTTTTTAGGCACCCAGCTTATTGAATTATTAACCCACTTAAAGGTTGGTTCCCCTTTTCTAATCCGTGTAATTAACTCAATTGACGCCTACCTGGGGCTCAACTTGAGCTAATTTCTGGCCCAGCAACTCCCGTACCCAGCGATAAGTTTACAATTTTGTAATTAATGCCTTCCTTTTGACAGCTACAATTGGCTTCACCCCTTCTCGTTGGATATTCGGAGATCGTTAATTTGGCGGTGCTCAATTAAATATGAATTCGTTGAACTTGGCCTTTGAATAACTAGACTCTCTCCCACTCTTTTGGCCTGGCCATAAAATGCAGCTGGGCGGGACCAGCTTGCGGCACTCATAAACACATTTTATCGAAGGCAGTTAGCAGTGAGTAGGAGGTGGGGGAAGGCCAAAAAATGGCCAAAACTTTGGCCATTATTCGAACGTGCTACGACTGGGTAACCCAGAAATGAACGCCATTCGATTGCAGGCCTAGAAATCAATATTCTGACAGGGAAAATCATGAAAGAATACAAGAGAATTGAGTTGAATTAAATCAAATTAAAGTTGAGGAATTTATGTTATCTTTGTCCAAGTAACAGCTGTTGAATTCTGATTACATAGAGCTTTGAAAAATAATATAAAATTAGAAAAAAATAATTGTAATTATATGTATTATTCACCTGTTGAGCAAACACTTACGCCCTTGCAACTTTTGGCGTTGCTGCTGCTGCTTCAAACTTTCCACATGAAATTGATTGAAAAACTTTGCACAGAGCAAACTGCTCCTCAAAGGGTTTGGGTTTGCCATCCTTTTACGATGCACCACATCTTCGAAGGAATGGCGATGAAATGAGATTCCTGATGCCATGGAAACTACCACAGTTCACGTCTCTCGCGTGGTTCTTCTCCTATTTTGGCACTAGGATCGTATCTCCTTTTTCCAAACTGCACGTGCAAGTGGAAGAGGATACTTGGCCCAAAAGGGCTAAAAGGAGCGAGGACCCTCCATTTTCCACGCTCCCATTTGCATAATGGATTTGAGTACAATTAGCCAGCAGCTGTTTCTGCCACTGCCACTGCCACTGACATGACTTCGACACTGGCCCCAGCATTGGATCCTTACTCTCCTTCCGGATTTTTCTGCATAATTGCTGGCAATGTGGATTTTTTCTGGCCCTTAAATTGTGTGCTTTCTCTTAAGAAAGAAAAGGCATTTGGTAGAAAAGGAAGTTTATACTAATTGCAGTTGGTTTTTTAGCTGCAATATCATATGAATTTTAAATGAGTTCAGCTTTTAAAAACCTTTATCTTTGATATTAAATTTAATTTGTAAGTTTCAGTCGCTACCCAGCTGCTTTATATAACCACAAAAAAGCCAACACTGATTCATGTAGCCATGAACTTGATGCGGAAATCCAAGGCACTGACAGCAGCAGGCACACAACAACAGCAGCCCAAATTCCAACAGTGCAACGCAAAAGGACCCAATTTCATTGCGAAAGGAAAAGCCAAAAACCCAAAACCTCATCTTATATGCCGGGCCCTAAAAACCCCTATTCGCGAGAGGTTCTCTGCATTAATACCTGACATCGTTTGCCCCTAATTGCTGGCGCTTTAAAAATACTTTTCGCAGCCTGAAAGGATTGTGGACTTTTAGCAGGCACTGTTTCGCAGATCCTTGCAACCCGACATCCGGCGTCCTGCTGTTCTCTGCTCTCTGAAGCTGCAGCCACTGCGCATCTAATGAGCCTCATTAACGTAATTACGTGATGTTGGCAATAACTGGCAAAAATCCTTCCCTCTTGATTACGATGATGATGAGTGTGTGCAGGGTCTGTGTGGGTGTGTATAAAGTGTGTGTATGATGTGCGTATGTTCATACACTCCATTGCTTGTCAGGATAATCACTGTATGATATGCAACTAAAACAGATTGTAATTCGTGGAAATCTTCAGCCAAGTGAAATTGAAATGCAAAGTTATTCAAACGAATGGGTACAATTGTTAGTTGTTTAACTATGAACATAATTAGGTGATCATTGATTATTAAGTATGATTAAGGGAAAGCAATTGTAACCATTTATGGTAAAGTGCCAAAGAGGATTTAAAGTATGAACTCTGACAGAATAACTAAGGTTAACCAACAGAATAAGCAAGGTTATTTGGGATTTAAGAAATTTAATGTACCTGCACTTTGCAGTCTGTTTCCTAAATACTTTAAACAAATGTCTATGAATAAAAGGGAATATAAAAGTCAAAGAAAAATAAACTCCCTGATGTGTGTGTTTTTGCAAAAACTTGTGTACAATATAGCAAATCACTCAACCGAAAGTAATTCGTCAAATGCATTTTGCAGCGCATTTAAGGGCCTAAAACTCAAAGGTACTTATCGACGGGCTTATAGTAAATGGCAGCCAGACACACACGTGTGTGTGTGTATCTATGGAGGATCCGATTAAATGACTGGAACGCAGAGGAGAACCAGCAATTAATCTAATGGCAGACACAGGACCTTCTGAGCCTAATGCACACGCCTAAATAATTCAGGTAGAAATCAGCTTAATGTTCTAGTCTGTGTGCCGGCCATTTCGAATTTTCGTAGAAAATTGAAAATAACACACTTCGGGATATTCAATCTTTGTCAAATTACTGCAGCGGGGACAGCATCAGCAGCAGCATCTGTCCCGACACTCGGCTTACATATAATTGCTTTTTTCGTAGCCAGCTAGCAACAATTTTTCACAGAAAATGTACTTTCCTCGCCGTGTTTTCCATCTAACTGTCAATTGTCAGAGTCTGTAGTTGGTGGGATTTCTGTTTTCGGTCAGCAGATTTGTGTCCCTGGACTT